CTTCTTCCAAATTTTCTCCAGATCTTCCTCCAGAGGTTCCTCGAGATCTTCCTCCAGATTTTCCTCCAGATTTCCCTCCAGATCTTCATCGAGATCTTCCTCTAGCTTGTTCCCCGTGCGTTCATCCAAATACTCCCCCAGATCTCCCTCCATATGTTCCTGCAGATATTTCTCCAGATCTTCCTCCACATCTTCCCCAAGATCGTCTTACAGATTTCCATAGATCGCCTCCCGGATTTTGCTCTGGCTGTTCCCCCGGATATTCCCCCAGTTCACCACCCATATCCTCGCCCAGATCTTGACGTGTTCCTGTATGTTGTTTGCTGCAGAGCCCCCGGCGCCGCAATCGGCACAATCACCGGCACAATCTTCATCGGAACCACCCACACTGGCGTCGCGCTGCGCTGAGAAATTGCACGCTTCAAAGCTGGCTCTCGCAAGGCGGCTAAGAAATTCAGCGAAGCTGGGTCTCAATTTCTTACTGGGAGATTTCTTAGCATAAGTTTTGAGTGTAATTTTGACGGTAGGAGACGCCATCGAACATGTATGACGTACGTATTGCATGCCAACATTGACGCCTGGGCGGCCGACCCCTTCGGCGAGGAATCCAGTGAGGCTCTGCAGGACATGCGATGAGAATGAAGCAAAGATGAAGAAACGCACTGGCACGACGATGGAACAAGCGGCGCACCAGTGCGAGTCGGCAGAGGGCCGCAGAAGTGGAGCGCCAGTTGAGAGGAGAAGCTAGCCAGGGGTACCATCGCGGCATAACAGCAGAGCCATATGTTGATATCTACATACGCCCTCGCTCCAGGGCCATGCTCAGCTGCCCGCGAGGGGGATTATGCTAGAGTCGCCTGCGTATTTGTTGCCCACCAGTCTCGGCCGCAACGCTCTTTGTGTTCCGTTGTGGTGCCTTGTTTTTTGTTTCCTACGCCTTGTTGTAGCCTTGTTTGCGCAAGTGTTCTGGGGAGCCATGTACTGTTATGGACTGGTCAAGCCAGCGTTTGCGAAAAGCATGGCCTCCGAGACGGCGTTGGGACGCCCCCAGAAGACCCCAACACGGCCCAGACAAGGGCCCCCAAGACCGCTTCCGACGGCGTCAGACGGGCCACGAACGCTCCAAAATGGCCGAGAAGGTTCCCCCCAGAGAACCCAAAAGTCCACGAGAGACTTCATGAGGCTCCTAAGAGGCTTCCCAAAGGCCCCCGAGAAGCTCCCAGGAGGCCCCGAGAGTGCCCCAAGAGGCTCCCGAGAGGTCCTACTCCACTTCCTCCTCCTCCTCCTCCTCCTCCTCCTCCTCCTCCTCCTCCTCCTCCTCCTCCCCCCCCTTTATGTTTTACTTCCCATTTCCTCTGTCTCGAGGTTGGCATCTCCCCCCCCCCCACACACACACACACACACACACACACCACACACACACACCCACACACGCGCGTGGCCCAGTGGTCCACGAACGCTCCTGGGAAATGACTTGATGCTGTGTCTTCTCCTCCGTCGCCTTTTTTTTCCGCCCCTTCCCCATCGTCATCGTCATCCTCATCATCCTACTCCGATTGTTCCTTCGCCTTCTGTCAAGCATGTCCCCCGAAGGGTTTCCACAACGGCTGGGCGAACACATTTGCCGATGGCCTGGCCGAGCTTGAACCACAACGTTCGGCCCCCCAGGCGAAACCAGAGGAGCAGGGTTCGACGATTCAGCCTGTACCCACAGTCCTCCGCCACCTGTCCGTCGAGATTTTGTCATGACGATTGGGTTCTCGCCCTCGCTATGGGCGTACCGTCGCCCCCAAGATTTCACAATCATATCCGCTATCGGCAATACACAACAAGGACAAGCAACGTCGTGCCAGAGGACGTTTCCGAAGCTGGTTTGCGCGGCTTCGGGGGACCGTTTCTGGTGTTTCGCTCCAACTCCTGAACTCCGTGCTATATTGGGCGTCTTGGAGACCATCTGGGTCCAAGTTGTTTCTTGAGCCGTCCTGGGGCCACTTTGGGGGCCTCTTGGCCGCTCTGGAGGCGATCTTGGATGTCTCCAGGGCCGTCTTGGGCCTTGGGATGTCCGAGACGACGCAAATGCCACGACCGTTTCAAAACTTACAGAACAAATCAATGAGATTGGCCTTGGGCGACCCTAGCCGTCTTGGAAGCGATTTAACCAACAAAAGATGGCTTTGGGGAGCTGCGGGTTTGGACGAAATCTCAGGAGGAGTTTAAAACGAACCCAAAGCCATTAGAAGTTTAGCACACCAGGCACCCCTGTGATAACTCAACAGGGAGCGGCGGGTCTAGCTGCCTGCGGCCCATCCCGACACCGTGCCTGGGTAGTGAGTCAGAAGCCACATGTTTGCTTCTTTGGATCTGGATCTCTTCAGAGGGCTGTCAGGGGATTCGGGGAGCAGTCTGGAGTCCGCTTGGGGGCCGCTTGGGAGCCTCTTGGGAGCCTCTTGGGAGCGTCTTGGGGCTTCCTGGGGGTCTCTTGGGGACCTCTTGGGGGCCTCTTGGGGGCCTCTTGGGAGTCTCTTGGAGCCTTCCGGGAGCCTCTCGGGGCGGTGAGTTCGAAATGTCGTTTCGTGTTCGCCCTCTGGGCCCCCCCTATGGGCGCTCTTGGGACCGTCTTGGGCCGTGTTTGCGGCTTCTTGGGCCGTCTTGGAGGCCTTTAAAGTCGTCTCGGCGCCTTCTTGACGGCCTTGTAGGCCGTCGTGGGGCGAACTTTTGGGCCTCAGCGTCAAGAAGCCGAGTGCTGCCTGAGGAGGCCCGCATGTGACTGAAGGCGGTCCGAAAAGGGAAGGGGGGAGGCGTACTCTGGCCTGGGGCCGTCCTCCCAGGACCACCCTTGGGACCCCCCTTTCGGACCCCCCCCCCCCGAGGGTGGGGAAGGAATAAAGGAGGAGGAGGAGGAGGAGGAGGAGGAGGAGGAGGAGGAGGGAGGAAAGGAGGAGGAGGAGAGAAGGTGGAGGAGGAGGGTGAGGGAGGAGGAAGGAGGTAGGAGGAGGAGGAGGAGGAGGAGGAGGAGGAGGAGGAGAGGAGGAGTGAGGGGAGGTATGAGGGGAGGAGGAGGAGATAGAGGGGAGGGGTAGAGGGAGGAGGAGGAGGGAGGAGGAGGAGGAGGAGGAGGGAGGCGAGGAGAGAGGCGGGAGGGAGGCTGGGGAGGAGGAGAGGATGAGGAGGAGGAGGAGGAGGAGGGGGCGAGGGGCTTGCCTTAGACTTGTTTACGACTTCGATTACGACTTGGCTCGATTTACCTCGACTTGACGAGCCTGGCGCGCCGAAGAGGCTCTTGGGAGAGTCTCCTGGAATGAAAGAACAAATCGACTGAGAGATCTTCTCGTAGGAACACCCTGGGACGAAGGACCCAGCACTCCCCCTCAGACGCGCAGCCAGGGTCGGCAATATTTGGCCATCTGTGGCTGTGCTCCTCTTTCTCCGTTCTCCTCCTCCCTCTCCTCCTCCTCCTCCTCCTCCTCCTCCTCCTCCTCCTCCTCCTCCTCCTCCTCCTCCCCCATCTCCTCCTCCTCCTCCTCCTCCTTCTCTTCCTTGTGTCCCTGAGGGGCCAAGCGGAGCGCCGGCCCATGCAGACCTACGACCTTGGAGAGTCCAGCGGGGCGCCACCCCACGGGCATCCCAGCGGGTCCTCGGCCCCCCATTGGGGGGGCTGCCAGCTATGTTGGCTGGATCGGGTACGTGGCGGCGTGGACTCGTTCTGCCTCCGACACCTACTCTTGAAGCCCTCCAAAGCCTCCTCTTCTTCCTCCTCCTCCCTCCTCATCATCATCAGCATCATCATCATCAGTATCATCATCGTAACCATCACCGTCGTAACCAACGGCATCATCACCATCGTCAGCAGCATACGCATAACCAGAATCACAATCATCATCAGTATCACCATCATCATCAGCCGCATCATCACCAGCAGCATCACCAACAGCCTTAACATCCTCATCATTATCACCAGCATCATCATCGCTATAATCGTCATCATTATCGTCATCAGCATCACCGTCACCATCACCACTAGTATCATCAGCAGCATCATCGTCAGCATCATCACCATGACCACTACCATCGTTATCTTTGTCACCACCGTCACCAGCGTCATCACCATCATCATCAGCAGCATCAGCAGCAGCAGCGGCATTAGCGTCACCAGCATTGTCATCACTATTGACATCATCGTCGTCAACGTTATTATCACCGTCATCAACATCATCATCATCAGCAGCAGCAGCAGTATCGTCGTTATCCTCATCGGCATCATCATCATCATCATCATCAGTAGTATCATCATCATCAGCAGCATTAGCGGCATCATCATTACTGTCATCATCAACCTCAGCATTATCATCATCACCACTACAAACACCTTCATCACCGACATCATCAGCATCATCATTACCATTAGTATCGTCATCGTCATCAGTATCATCATCATCAGCATTCACATCAGCATCATCATCATCATCAGCAGCATCATCATAAGCATCATAACCATCAGCATCCGCATCATCATCGCCATCGTCATCACTAGCATCATCAGCATCATCATCAGCAGCATCATCATCATCGGCATCATCATCATCATCATCATCCTCATCCTCTCTCTTCCCCTGTTCATCCTCATCATCCACTTGACCTCCTTCTTTTCCTGCTCTTCCTCGTCCTCCTCCTCATCCTTCTCCTCCTTCCCCTCCTCTTCCTCCTCCTCCTTCTCCCCTCCTCCTCTTCTTCCTCATCCTCCTCCTTCTCCGCCTCCTCCTTCTCCTCCCTCTCTCCTCCTCCTCCTCCTCCTCCTCCTCCCCTCCTCCTCCTCCTCCGCCTCGTCCTCCTCCTCCGCCTCCTCCTCCTCCTCCTCCTCCTCCAACTCCTCCTCCTCCTCCTCCTCCTCCAACTCCAACTCCTCCTCCTTCTCCTCCTCCTCCTCCTCCTCCTCCTCCTCCTCTTCCTCATCCATCCTCCACCTTTAGCCTCTCGCCCTTGGCATTGCCGCATGCCTTCACGCCGAACGAGTTTTTATCAGAGCATGACCGCATCCCTTCCGCAGCCGCTAGGCTCAAGCAGCTGCCTCGCGCCTGGACGGGCGGGGTGGCCGGGGGGAATTCGCAGCAGCGGGAATTCCGCGCAGAGGCCACTGTCGCTGCGCTGCCCTGCGCTCGATGGGGCCACCGCCTGCATGGATCATGGCGGAGGCGGCCCGAGCAGCCACTGGCGCTGCCGCGAGGGCCTTGAGCGACGCCGCGGCCGGGCAGGGGAGCGCATCGGGGGATGCACCCGCTCTGGCCGCGACGCGCGGTGGCGGGGCAAACGGCGGCCGCGCCGCGAGGCCCCGCGGCCGCGGCCAGGGCAGCGAGGCCTGCGGCGACGCAGGGGCCAGCGCGGGCCAGCGGCCTGGCGAGCTTCTGCGCCTCCTCGGCGCCCCGAGTCCGGCGCCGGCGACCTCGCCCGACGGCCTGGCCGCCCACCGCCCGGCCCCTCTCAGCGGCACCAGGGATGCCGCGGGGGCCTCGCCAGCGCTCAGCCTCGAGGAGGCGGCGGGCCTCGGCACGCGCGTCGTGGGGAAGGCCGAGGCCCCGTCCGTGGACGGCGGGGCTCTCCAGGCCGCACGCCAGCAGCGGGGCGAGGCTGCTGACGGCGTGCGCGTGGGGGCCCCGGTCCTCCGCCCGGCGGTCGCCGCCGAGAGCGGCGGGCTGGCAGAGAGCGAGGCCGCCTGGGACGCGGCGGCGTCGCAGGAGGCCGCCGCCGAGGGGGCGGCCACGGTGGCGGTGGTGGCCGCTTGCCGCGCCGACGAGGAGCAGGTCACGGAGTCCGGCAAGGCGGCTCTCGCCGTGGAAGAGGCCAGCGCCGGGGGGGGGGGGCAGGTCGAACAGTGGCGACGCGTCTTGGCTTGCCTATAGGGCCACCAAAGAATGTGCTAAGAACATGTTGTGGTCTGCACGAAGTGTTCTTAGAACATGTCTGGCTGGGACCTTCGTGTTTTAAGACATCGGGCTTGTGCGATCAGAACATTGATGTCCTTATAAGAACATGTCTGGGCTCTAAGAACAAATCGTGGTAGGCCTATAGGAATGCCAGGACGGTCGGTACCTGCTCAAGCAGGGGGCCGTGGGCGCCGCCCGAGAGGCCGAGGGACGCGCCGACGCGGCCGAGCGGCAGTCGGCCCGGCAGCTGGAGTGGCAGGCGAGGGCCCAGCAGCTGGAGTGGCAGGACAGGCTCTGTCGGGCGCGGCGCTCCCTGGCGGAGGCCGAGGGCATGGCGCTGGATGCAGAGTGCTCGGCCTGCGCCGCCTGGTCCCGAGCGCGGCGGGGCGCGGAGGAGGCGCAGCAGGCGTGCTGGGAGACGGCGGCGGCAGTCCAGCGCTCTGCGGCGGAGGAGGTCGAGGAGGCGGTGAGGGCGAGGGAGGACGCTGGCGCGGTGGCCTCGGGCATCGAGCGCGAAGCCCTCGAGTCTGTCAGGCGCGCGAGGGTCTTTGGCGCGATGAAGGTCCAGACAGCGGAGCGGTCCGCTGCGGACGCCGAGCGGGCCGCGGAGGCCTTGGCGGCCCAAGTCTCAGAGGAGGTGCGGGCCGAGTGCGCGCGGGAGCTCTCCGAGAGGGCTCGGTGCGCGGAAGCGCTGGCGGCCCAGCGGCGCCGCGCAGATGAGGCCACCCAGGTTGCGTCGCTGAAGCTGTTAGAGGACGAAGATCTCCTGGCCGACGTGGCGCTGCAGGCCAGGGCGCGCTCCGTCAGGGAGATGCTACAGGCGGAGGCCGAGGCCGCCGACGCCGAGCACCAGGCGTCGCGGGACGTCGCAGACGCGGAGGCAGCTTTCAGGCGCGACCTGGATGACTGGACGACGCAGGCCGATTCCGCGGAGGCCACGATGGCTCAGCGGCGCGAGGCCACGGAGGCAGCCTGCGGGTGGGCCGCAGAATGCGAGCGGCGAGCCGCGGAGGACATCGAGCAGGCGAGCGCCGACAGCCTCTGTGAGGCGGGCGATGCCGAGCGGCAGCTTGCAGCTGCGGAGGCCGCCGCGGACAGGGCGGCCAACGAGGCGAGGCTGGCGCACACGCAGCTGCAGGAGCGACTCGCCGCCGTCGCCGCGGCTGCCGAGCAGCTGGTGTCGGCGGCGTCGGCGGCAGCGGCCGAGCGAGCGGTCGTCGCCGAGGCCAAGGCCTCCGCCGCACAGGCGTCCGCCGACGAGTTGCACGAGGCGGCGCTGCGGGAGGCCCAGGCGGGCTCGCAGCGGGCTCGGCGTGCGCAGCAGGAGGCGGCAGACGCCGTGGAGTCCTCGCGCTCGCGCGCCAGGCGGCTGGCGGATGCCGAGCAGAGCCGCGTTGGGGCCGCGGAGCTGGAGGCGGCCCGCGCCGTCGGCAGCTCCCGCCAGCAGCTGGCGGCGTGCCGCGGGGTCGCTGGGGAGGCGGCCCAGCGACTGGCGGCGGCCACGTCGAGGGCGCACGAGGCGGCGCGGCGTCAGCATCTCGCGGCCGAGGCCGCTCAGAGGGGCGGGGCCACGCTGGAGCAGGCCACGTCCAAATACGAGGAGGCTGCCCTGGAGCACGCGCAGGCCTCCTCTTCCGTCTCGTCCTCCATCTCCTCTTCGTCCTCCTCATCATTGTCCCTCTTCGCCTCATCAACCTTCTGCTTCCCGCTCTCCCCGATCTACCGTCTCCCCCTCCCCATCCCCTCAATGCCCTCCCTCACCCTCCTCACCCCGCCTGCCTTCACCACCTCGCCATCCCCTGCTCCCCATCCCCTCCTCCTCCTCCTCCTCCTCCTCCTCCTCCTCCTCCTCCTCCTCCTCCTCCCCCATCCCCCTCCGTCTCCTCCTCCTCCTCCTCCTCCTCCTCCTCCTCCTCCTCCACCTCCTCCTCCTCCCCTCCTCCTCCTCCTCCTCCTCCTCCTCCTCCTCCTCCTCCTCCTCCTCCTCCTCCTCCTCCTCCTCCTCCTCCTCCTCCTCCTCCTCCTCTCCTCCCGCCTCCTCCTCCTCCTCCTCCTCCTCCTCCTCCTCCTCCTCCTCCTCCTCCTCCTCCTCCTCCTCCTCCTCCTCCTCCTCCTCCTCCTCCTCCTCCTCCTCCTCCTCCCCCCGCCTCCTCCTCTTTCCCCTCCTCCTCCTCCTCCTCCGCCTCCTCCTCCTCCTCCTCCTCCTCCTCCTCCTCCTCCTCCTCCTCCTCCGTCTGCTCCTCCTCCTCCTCCTCCTCCTCCTCCTCCTCCTCCTCCTCCTCCTCCTCTTCCTCCTCCTCCTCCTCTTTGCGCAGGCCGAGGCCGCCGCCGAGCTCGAGGCCAGAACGGCACCGGGCCTCGCCAGGTCGCAGTGCGACTCGCGCGTGTCCGACGCCGAGAGCTCGGCTAATCGGGCGGAGAGCAGGGCCGCAGAGCAGCGGCGCGCTGAGGGGCGGGCGGCCGCCGCGCTGGCACTGGCGCAGGAGGCCGCCACCGCCTCCGAGGAGGGCGCGCGGCGCGCGGCCTGGGAGCAGGCGTCCGCGGCACGAGAGCGCGCCTTGGCGATGGAGGGGTGCATCCGGCAGGCCGAGGGGCAGATGCGGGCGGCCAGGCGCCCCCTGGCACAGTACTTCCAGCGGGTGCTCGGCGCGAGGCTCGCCGCCGCAGCTCGCCCCGGGGACGCCGCCGGGGCCGAGGCTGCCGAGGGCGGGCGCTGTGCGGGGGCCACCCCGGCCAGGAGGGCCGCGTCGAGGACTGCCCTCGAGGGCGCCCAGGCGCCGAAGAGGCCCCGGGTCGACGGGCTCGGCTGGGGCGCCCTGCGCCCGAGCGTGCGGCAGGCCCTGTACAGGGATCACCGGCAGGCTGCGGGCGGCCGCGGGCGCCGCCGCTCCGCGGCGCGCGCGGCATCGCCCGGCGTCGCGTGACCCCCGGCCGCGGCCGCCGGCGGAGAGGCGAGGCGGCGCGCCCTGCTCGCGGGGCTCTCGTTCGGCCTCGCGCCGTCGCTCGGCTCGGGCTTCCGACCGCCCAAGGGGCGGCCTCCACGATAGCTCCAAGACAGCAGGGGCACCCATTAGGGGGGGCCAGGCATGAGGGGGATGCATCGATCCCCAATCGCCCATCGATCGCCGAAAGGGGCCCGATAGCCCCAACCTGCCCAGAGACATGCGGATTCACTAGCAGGGGGCCTATCGCCGATCTATCAGCGATACGGCGCCGATTCGAGGTCGATGTTCACCCTCTCAGGTCTAATCCCCCCTATCGTTGCCCCTCAAGGCAGCCCATGCGGCCAGCCCAAACAGGGCCCCAAGAGACTCCCCAAGAGGGCCCCAAGGCGACCCTGAAGCGCTCCAAGAGGTCATGGCCGTCTCTGCGCTTCCTGTTGCCCTCGTCCTGGTCTTCCCTCCCATTAGGCGGCGCGCATGCGGTCGGGAACTCCTGGCTAGCGTGTCGCTCCGCAAGTTCTGGCCAACCTCACTTCGGCGCGTTACGCCATCCGCTTCCCAGCCCCCCCGTCAAGGTCCCTGGCCTCTCCGAGCCTCCCGCCCCGCGGAGCGGAGCGACACGCAGCCCCCTTGCAAGGCACCGCGTGTCGCTGGGGCCGCCGCCCCGAGACGCTGAGCAGAGCATCCCGGCTGCAAGGGGTTAGCGCGAGGGGCGCGGCCTGCTGAGACTGAGGGGCGGCCTCTGGTGGAGGCGGGCGATCTGGCTCCCGAGGAGCCGGGGGCGCTTCCAAAAATGGGACACAGACGAGCGTCGAAGCCCAGGAAACGAGGGGAAGTGGAGAGGGGACGACGGACCAATCCACAACACAGACGTTTGTGTGTGTGTTGTGTGTCTGTGAGTGTGTGTTGTGTGTTGTGTGTGTGTTGAGTGTGTTGTGTGTCTGTGAGTTTGTGTGTGTGAGTGTGTGTGTGAGTGTGTGTGTGTGTGTGAGTGTGTGTGTGGGTGGGTGGGTGGGTGGTGGGTGGGTGCGTGGGTGCGTGGGTGCGTGGTGCGTGGGTGCGTGGGTGCGTGTGTGTGTGTGTGTGGTGGGGGGTGTGGGTGGGGTGTGGGGTGGGTGTGGGGTGTGGGGGTGTGGGGGTGTGGGTTGTGGGGTGTGGGGGTGTGGGGTGTGGGTGTGTGTGTGTGTGTGGGTGGGGGTGTGGGTGGGTGTGGGTGTGTGTGTGAGTGTGTGTATGGCTGTGTGTGTGTTGGTGTGTGTGTGTGTGCGTGTGCGTGTGCGTGTGCGTGTGCGTGTGCGTGTGTTTGTGTGTCTGTGTGTCTGTGTGTCTGTGTGTCTGTGCGTCTGTGCGTCTGTGCGTCTGTGCGTCTGTGCGTCTGTGCGTCTGTGCGTCTGTGCGTGTGTGCGTGCGTGCGTGCGTGCGTGCGTGTGTGTGTGTGTGGGTGGGTGTGTGTGGTTGTGTGTGTGTGGGTGTGTGTGTGTGTGTCTGTGTGAGTGTGTGTGTGTGTGTCTGTGTGTGTTAAACAACGTGAGCACCTGGCACGCGGTTGTGTCCCCCCCCTGGGCTCCCATCACAGCGCAGGCAGCCCGCCTCGCCCCTCCACCGTGTGCGCGCCGCCACCCTCTCTTGAGGAGGATGAGGAGGAGGAGAAGGAGGAGGAGGAAAAGGAGTACGAAAAGGAGGAGGAGGGGGGGAGGAGGAGGGAGGAGGAGGAGGAGGGAGGAGGAGGAGGAGGAGGGAGGAGGAGGAGGAGGAGGAGGAGGAGGAGGAGGAGGAGGAGAGGAGGGGAGAGGCGGGGAGGAGGAGGAGGAGGAGAGGAGGAAGAAGGAAGAGGAGGAGGAGGAGGAGGAGGAGGAGGAGGAGAGGAGGAAGAAGAAGAAGAGGAGGAGAGGAGGAGGAGGAGGAGGAGGAGGAGGAGCAGGAGGAGGAGGAAGAGGAGGAGGAGGAGGAGGAGGAGGAGGATCTCTCTCTCTTTCTCTCTCTGTCTCTGCAGCCGACGGGCCTCGCCTCCGCTGCCCCGCTTTGCGCGCGCGCCTTGCGCGGCGGCGGGCGGGGCGCCCCGCGCCGGCCTGGGCCTCCTGGATGGGGTCCGAGCAGGTGGGGTCGAAGGATCGCGCTGCACCGCCGATGCATCGACTTTTCGTCTCGACGTGGAGGCCGTGTTTCCCCACGCCGACGTCGCCTGCGTCGTCGATACATCGGCGGCGCATTGGCGATGCGGCGCGATCCTGCGACCCCATTTGCTCGGACCCCAACTAGGAGGCCTCTAGCCAGGGGTCGGGGCGGCAGCGGGCGTGGGCTGGCCAGAGAATTCCGCAGGGCGGACAAAAAGATTCCCCGCATGGAACACCTCCAGGGTCCATTCCGCTCCGATCGATCCGATTCGACATGGAGTTCGGCCGGCCGGATGCAGCTCTTTTCCGGCATTCTGACGATCCGATGCGGCCAGATGCGTGCGCGGTGTTGTTGTGAATCCTGGCGCGGCCGATCCGATTCGATTTCGAGTCCCTGCCGCACAGACAGCCTCAGGAGGTAGGCCCCGCTGGCGTCAGCGGGCCCTCAGGCTACAGCAGACACGCAGGAAGTACAGTACGAAACCAGCCTGCCGGCAGGAGCCCCATGGGAAGCTCGTCTCCCGAAGGCCTCAGGATCCGATCCGCAGAAGTCCTGGGGCCGCTTCGCGAGCTCAACTATGGACGGCGGCGAGACTCTGGAGAAACCCGCCGCAGGCGCCGATTCTTTCGTTAAACCAATGTGGGTAGGTCGCGGGTGGGTCGCAAATAAGTCGCGGCTGGGTCGCGGCTTGGTCGCGGGTGGGTCGCTGTTGGGTCGCGGGTGGGTCGCGGGTGGGTTGCGGGGTGGGTCGCGGCTTGGTCGCGGGTGGGTCGCGGGTGAGTCGCGGATTGGTCGCGGATGGGTCGCGGGGTGGGTCGCGGTTGGGTCGCGGGGTGGGTCGTGGGGTGGGTCGCGGGGTGGGTCGCGGGTGGGCCGCGGGTGGGTCGCAGGTGGGTCGCGGGGTGGGTCGTGGGGTGGTTTGCGGGGTGGGTCGCAGGTGGGTCGCGGGTGGGTCGCGGGGGGGACGACGACAACAAACAACAACAACAACAACAACAACAACAACAACAACAGCAACAGCAACAACCACAACAACAACAGCAACAACAACAACAACAGCAGCAGCAACAACAACAACGACAACAACATCAACAACAACAACAGCAACAACAACAGCAGCAACAACAACAAGAACCTCAACACCAACAACAACAACACCAACGCAATAAGCAGACTCTTCACCACGAACCTTCACTTCAGGCACGCACCCAGGGACAACGAATGACCGTCCGGCCCCCTCACTTCGACAAATAATAGCAGTAATGATAACAATAATAACAATCATAATAGTAGTAGTATTAATCCCATCAGTGACAGTACGATATGTATAGTTCTAAACTCCCCCTTTTCAGCCCTCAGTGTTGGTCATCTCTTGTCAAGGCACTTTTGTTCGGCGGTGGGGAGTGGCGAGGCCGAACTTTCATCATCCGCCGAGCGAAGTGCGAACCGTAGCTGTTATCTTCTCATCACGAGTAGCAGCAGCATCATTATCATCATTAGTACGGCTTGTCGTATTACGCTGATG